ATCATCGAGGCCAACGCCAAAGAGGACAAGACGCGCGCAGCGGACAGCGAGAGGCGGCAAGCTAAACTGTTTGACGAGATCGAGACGCTGCGAGAGGACTACAACGACGTCGATAAGAAATGGACTGAGGCGAAGCAGGAGTATGAAGACGCCTACAACCACCAGGCGCGCTTCGTACAGATCGTGGAACAGCTGAAGTCCAAGCGCCAGACGCTAGACATCAACAGGGAAAATGTTGCAGAGCTTCAAGACAGCATCAAGGAGCTGGCTGAGTCGGACGAGGAACTCCAAGACATGCTAGATCAGTACGAAGAGCGCGTCGCAACATACTCAACTCAGGCCAAAGAGTTCCGGAATCAGTATCTTGAGCTCAAGAACGACCTCGAACACAACAGGGACGCCCTTGGAGCGAAGCAAAGCGAGATCGGCAAGTACGAGGCGCAGAAGGAGCAGTATGAGCGTCAGGTCCAACATCGCGAGAACTCTATCAAGGAAGCCGCTAAGCGACATGCTGTCCGAGGGTTTGATTACGACATCACCGAGAAGCAGGTGGAGGAGTTCCAGCAGATCCTAAACAAGATGTCTCGCGATCAGAACAAGGTTCTGGATCGAACTCGGCAGGAGACACAACGCGACCTACGTGAAGCCCAGGATATTCTCAATCAGCTAAAAACACGCAAATCGGGACTCAGCCAGAGCAAGGACTCCGCGCGGAGTCAGATCACGAACAACGACAAGCGCATCTCCGATCTCCAGAGGGCCATGAACAACATCAAGGCAGATGAGGGCAGCGAAGCCATTCTTCAAGATAAGAAGCGAGATGTCGAAAAGCAGCTTCAAAACGCAACCACCGCGGTGAACTCAGAACGCTACGACGAACGCATATCCGAAGCGTCCAACAACGTACGAACACTCGAAGACCAGAAGGAGCGCTTGACGAGTGAGTTTGGTGACGCTTCAAAGCAGGCTCGGGAGTCTGCGGCTATCGACGTCAAGCGAGAGGAGCTACAAACCCAGCAGCACAGCTTGGCGACCATGAAGAAGGTTCACAATGAGCGCCTTTCACAGCTGGTGGACTCTGACTGGGACCCCGCCACTTTAGAGACGACTTTCCAGCAGGTGCTGGCAGAGAAGGCAGGCAAGGTCAAGGAGGCTGGGTCTCGCCGCGAAATTGCGCAGACCAAGTTGGACAAGGTCAACTACCAGATGTCAAGCTTGGGGTCGCAATTGAAGCAGAATCGTGCCGACCTCCAAAAGTACGAAAAGACCGTGAAAGAATCCATACAGAAGGACGACATCTCCGATTTTGACGAGACTTTGCAAGACCTGGAGCTTGCGTACGAAGTATCCTCTACAGACAAAGCCAAGTTCGAAGCACAGGTCGAGTACATGAGCAAATGCCTGCAATACGCCGAGAAACACAATATGTGCCGACTCTGTAAGAGGACTCTTCACGATGACCACGATGAGGACTTTACAACTGCGGGCTTTGTTAGCGGACTCAAGGAAATTATTGCAAAGGCGAATAAGACCATAGAGACAGAAGTCAATGTTGATGAAATCATGGCTGAGCTTGAGGCTGCTCGCAAGGCCAAACCTAGCTATGAACTAGCGACTCGTCTGCGCGATACCGAACTTCCCGCACTCCAGGCCAACCTCACCAAGCTGACTGCTGAGCGCGACACTCTCAACAAACAGCTCGAAGACCAGGATGCTGTCATCTACGATCTGGAGGCTGCGAAGCAAGAAGTTCAGTCCTTGTCAAAAGAGGTACAGACCATTGTTGCCTACTATAGCAGAGCGCAGGAGCTTGAGGCGGAGATCAAAGAGTTAGCACGGAAGCAAAAGTCTGCAGGTCTCTCTCGTGGCATCGACGCGATTCAGACCGATCTGCAACGTGTGTCTGATGATAGCCGCAACGCTAGGGCAATGCTCGAGCAGCTTACGGCTGCCAGGGACAAGTCACGTAACCAGATCACAACTCTTGAGCTGAGCGTACGTGACATCAACGCGGACCTAAGCAGCGCACAGTCAAAGCTGAAGGAGAAGCGGGATCTCGCCGATCGAGTAGAAGACCTCAAGCAGGAGAATAACAAGCAGCGTGAAGCCCTTCGCAGCTTCGACCAGGACATCAGTAACATCGACCCCGAAATCGAGCAAGCGCAGTACAAGTACGACGACATCAACCGCCGTGGCAACGATCGCGTCCAACGCGCTCACGATGAAGCTGCTAGGCTATCCGACACTGTGCGCCAGCTCAACCAGGCGAACGAGGAAATCGATGCTTATATTAGTCGTGGTGGACCACAACAGCTCGCACGCACCCATCGGGAGATTGAGAACCTCCAAGGCGAGGTCGCACGTATCGAAACTGACATGTCTGATTTGACTCGAAAGATCAAAAAGCTCGAAGACACGGTGCGCGACACGGAAACGAACAAGCGCTCCATCAGTGAGAATTTACGCTATCGGAAAGCCAAGCGCTCCCTCGACAGCCTAGAAGTCGAGATCCGAAAGCTAGAAGAGCTCGGTGCTGAGCGTGATAAGGCACACTACGAGCAGCAAGCTAAACACTGGGATCTTCGAGTACGAGATCTCAATCTCAGGAAGGCAACTCTGGAGCGCGACATGAAGAACAAGGATGACCAGCTTACGGATCTCATGACGGAGTATGAGAAAATTTACAAAAAGGCAGCGGAGCAATACCGCGAGGCTCACATCAAGGTCGAAACTACCAAAGCCGCCATCGACGACCTGGGGCGCTATGCTGGCGCTCTTGACAAAGCAATTATGAAGTATCACACGCTCAAGATGGAGGAGATCAACACCATCCTGGCTGAACTTTGGCGCAACGCGTACCAAGGTACGGACGTGGACGCTATCCGCATCGTATCCGATGGCGATGGCAAAGGTAATCGGACATACAACTACCGCGTTGTGATGGTAAAGCAAGACACCGAGATGGACATGCGAGGCCGCTGTTCCGCAGGCCAAAAAGTCCTCGCTTCAATCGTCATCCGCCTCGCGCTCGCAGAATGTTTCGGCACAAACTGCGGTCTCATCGCACTCGACGAACCCACTACCAATCTGGATCAGCAGAACATCAAGGGTCTCGCCGAGTCCTTGTCTCAGATCATCCAGAGCCGCAGGAAGCAGGCCAACTTCCAGCTGCTGGTCATCACCCACGACGAGCAGTTTCTCCGCGAGATGAACTGCGCGGACTACACCGACTCGTACTGGCGCGTCGGTAGAGATGTGAAGCAGGAGAGCTATATCGAGCGCCAGAACATTGCTGAGGTAACTGCACTCCAACCCCCCTTGATGCTCGCGCAGAGCAGGCATTCCCTCTTGAATAGGATTCGTTTTGAAGAATGAACCGGACAGGTTCTAACATTTGACAGGTTTCTTGATCGAGGTATCCGTTCTTGACGCGATCTTTGATGGCGTTTGAGGATACGGTATATATACGCATACTAGGGCGTTCACGGTTTTCGTACATTCGCATCTACATTTCGTAGGTGTTAAATGGGTATCATAGCGATGGAGTTGGCATGATGGGTGTTGTTTCAGGAGGGACGGGTAGATTTATCGGGTATCATGTATCGGGGACTATCACACGTATGGGGTCTCAATGCATTCACCTTCACTGATCCGCACCATACCAAGACGTTACATCTCAAAGACACTAACTCGGTCACAGTGCAATTCCGATGGCTCAGGAGCTCGTAACCAACATTCCATTTCACTTCACAGCGCAACATACACATTGTCGCCACAGATTGATCTGTCCAACTTTTCCTTCCCTTCCACATGTCACGAACCCAACTGTCGAAACTTCACACCCTCCTTCTAATGGCCGATTTCGTAGTCCCTCCTTCAACCCCCATCCCAAAGCCCAGACCCCTTAACATCGAAAAGATGTCCTCCGTCGAAACCATCCTCTTCGACCTAAGACACCACAAGTCCTTCATCACGCCCCTTACCCCCCTGTCAGACCCATATATCCAGTCCATGCACACATTTCAAACCTTCACCACCTCCCTCATCCAGTCCTTAGACGCCAAAACCTCCACAGTTGTTGAGCTGGCACAGAATGATACACTGCAAGACCTATACTCGAACTTTCCTTCTTTCTACGAGCAAGAGACGTTCAGGGAGTGGGTGAAAGACGGGACGCTGAAACATCCTCAGCGCCAGACAGAGGCACAGTGTCGATTCCTGCGGATTGTGGAACTCCAGACACGCTCGGAACCAGCCATGAGCGTCGTCGATATTGTAGCGAACGCTGTTGCTGCGGGAGAGGAATGGCGCGAAACAGCATACACCCCCGCGAATCTAGTGCAAGACCCAGACGCCTTACACTTCTTCACATGCGCCTATCGCCGCCTCGAAACAGCGTCTACTCCCTCCTCCCCCACCCCCTCCACCTGTCCAATCTGCACATCCCCCTTCGACCCTACCACGCACATCCCCAAACGCTGTCCTTGCACGCACATCTTCTGCACCCCCTGCCTCGTGTCCTGGCTCCAAAAAAGCTCCCAAGCATACACCTGCCCCCTCTGCCGGTCCTGCATCCCCTGCGGCCGCAATCCCTGCACCTACCATCCTATCCCCCAGGAATCCTCCTTACCGATGCCGTTGCCTGAGATCATGGATGTGGTGTTAGTTGACACGATAGGCGGGATGGATGTACGGGGTGCACAGCTACATGGGATGGCGCCGGAGACGTATTGGGTGTTACGGGAGGAGACGAGGAGGGATAGGGTGGGGTTGAGGGCGGCGAGGGATGTGCTTAGGTCGGGTGTGTTGGTGGGGGAGGAGAATGACGGGGTTAGGCGGTTTATGGAGGGGGTGGAGAGGGAGGCTGCGGAGAGGATCAGGGGGGATGTGCTATGTGCGGTGGCGGGGGTGAGAAGGATAGAGGTGGAGTTGACGTGGTGAAAGAGGGATGATATGATGTCCTTTGTTTTAAGTTTTGGGTTTGACGAGACTGTTTATCTTTATTGGAGGTTTACGAATAAGCCTCCGTCTACCAACAGCTGCGCGCCGTTCACATAGCTACTCAAATCACTGCCTAGGAAGATGGCTGGACCAGCAAGGTCACTCGGCACACCCGTTCTCCCCAGCGGTATCCTACCTTCCATGTACTTCCTCTTCTCCTCGTCTTCGAGATCCTTCTCGTTGAGCTGCGTCTTGATTGTACCTGGTAGCAGCGCATTGCACCGTATACCATGTGTTCCGAGTGCGCACGCGGAGGACTGAATGAGGGAGAGGACACCGGCTTTGGTGGGCGTGTAGTGGCCCTGGTATGCGCCGCCGACGAGGGCGCTGATGGAGGATATGCCGATTATGGAGCCGCCCGGAGGGGACTGGGTGGACATTTGCTTTGCGCCGGCTTGGATGGTGTGGAATGCGCCGGTGAGGTTGGTGGTGAGGGTGTTGTTCCAGAGGTCCGGTGTTATCCTGGTAGACGGGTGTTAGTTTTGCACTGTTCGAGTGTTGTTGCTGAGGAGAAGGACGTACTCTAGAAACTCCTTGAACTCGCAGATACCAGCGTTGCTTATCACAACGTCCAATCGTCCCCATCGTTGTACTACGGCATCTACCAACTTCTTGCCTGTCTCGGGGTTTCCTACGTCGCCGGGTACTTCTACTAGTCTCTTCTCGACTTCTTCTTTGCTGGTTTGTAGGTTCGAGGCTGCTTCCTCGACGAGGGTTTGGTACTGCGATGAGGACTTGTCGTCGCCGAAGTGGTTCACGGCGACGTTTGCGCCGTGTTGGAGATATCCTAGGACGATGGAGCGGCCGATGCCAGTGACGCCGCCGGTGATCATCATGGACTTGCCAGACAGCAGCTGGGGGGTTTGCGCCGCTGTCGGCGTGGTGGGCGTCCACAGACTGTTCTTGCGTGCGTGAGACATCGTGTTCGTAAGTATAGAGTGTGGGGTATGATAGATGGGCTATCGCGGTATACGAGGGGCTCAGGGTGGTCTGTCTGGAGGTATTGAGTCTCCTGGAAGACGGTGAGGAACAATTTGTCCGATAGCACCGTCTACCCAGGAAGCCATAATATACATGCCGCTATGCGCAATCTGGTTCGGTAGGTGCGATGTATGAGTGAGCCGTGTTCGGTCCACGTGTTCGGGACATTAGCAGCCGAGGCCGAAGGTCTTGGCGATTGCGTCGCGTTCGCCAGTCAAGCCAGTTGCGCAATTCTCGGAAGCCTCCACCAGATACTGCGATACACAATCAAGGATGGTGTATTCTTGGGACGACAAAGAGGCGCTATGCTATCAACTCTATGTCGAGGAGCGCCGGAGTCTGGAGGAGGTCATGTCGTACTTTGAGATACGAGGGTTCACCCCAAGGTACGCAAGCGCTGCGCGGGAGAGTACATATGGGTCGCCGTACTCGCTCACCGTCATTTCGCAACCTAGTGTTTGGCGAAGATATCTAGGACACTTAACGCTGACCCTGTTACTTCAGCAAGCGTGCCTTCCAGACCCAATTCAAGGTGCGTCGTCGCACGACTTCCAGTCTCCACTCCGAATCCCCGACTGATCACGTCATAGCGATGGGAGTTCCCCTCGAAGCAGAATCCAGCGCACAAGAACACGGCCCTCGTCGCGCGACTCCAGCAACTATGGGAACAGAACTATACGCAGAAGGACATGGTGGATACGCTACAGGCTGAGGGCTTTCAGATCAACGATCGCGAACTGCTGCGCTTGCGCCTGAGGCTCAAGCTCTTGCTTCGAGAAAGCGTTTCCAGGTCGAAGAAGACAAAGGCTGATGGGGGGAGGATACAAAAGAAGCCGAAGAAGAAGTCTATCAAAGTTGTGCCTGGGAGAGGTTTGATCAACCAGCTTGGTAACGCGATATTGGCAGAGGATTCTACGAGCGATGATGGAAGCGAAGAAGAGGCCGCGGCTGCTCAGGAAGAAGGAGATGAGGGTGGGACATCTGTGGAAGAAGCGCGACCTATACTCCCCGAACCCGACATCACAGGCTTGAGCGAGGAGGAAGTGCTCCGCAAGCAACTGCGCCAACAGCAGCTTCAGACCGAGAGCGACGAGAAATGGCGGACACGCAAGCGAAGACGTCGAACACGCGGCTGGGCCGGACTACCAGCCGATGCTCCTGGCGAACCTCCTCGATTCCCTTCCGAAACCACCATCGACGAAGCCAAAGCCTACCTCGGTCTAGACAACGATATGTACCGGCAGGTTCGAGAGAGCTTTCTCCAGATCTGCAAGGCGCAGGAAGTTACAAAGAAGACCATTGCCGGTCCGGAGAAGTGGGCGCAGATTGTACAACAACTCATTCGAGATGACGCGCATTTGGCTCAAGTCTTCCAACAAGAGCCAGAAGTGCTACAGAACGTCGACGCGCTCTTCCGTCCGAAAGGTCAGAGAGCGCTGTCACTTGATGTCATCTGTCTGGACGTTACAAAGCGCTTACGAACGATGGATTCACGCATGACCCTCGCCGACGCAAAGAACCTCCTTGGCCTCAACCCCGAACAGACGCGACACGTCCGAAGCGCCTTTGCTGACAAGCTGAAAGCAGCTCAATTTTCGAACAAGCATGAAGCTGGTGAGGAACGCTGGACGGGTTTGAAGCAAGCGTGGGTCAACGAGTCCGAGTTCCTGGTGAAGGCGCTCGCACAAGGGGAAGACGATCCAGAATACGCAAGAAAGTTACGGGCTCTTGAAGTGTTGGCCAGGGACGTGATGAAGCGGCAACAGCAGGAAAAGACCTCCAAAGACCCCAGCAAGAAAAAACAGGTCCATCAGGGCCCGGGACCAGGGCCTGCACCGCCTGTCGTCGCCGCACACCCGACGAGCATGGGAAATAAGGGCAGACAACACAATAGTGCTGGTCCAAAGGCAAGAACACAGACTACATACACCGCCGCGCCCTCCCTATCCACAGCATCAGATCTCCAAATCGACCCATCTCTCCTCCTAGCCGCCAGCGACGCCGCAGTCCTACCCATCCCCTCCTACCCACCTCAACACCACTACCAGTCCACCCACTACCAACCCGCATCCCAGCACCAGCACAACCACAACCACCACCACCCCAACCCACATCCCCCCTACCAACAACCCTACTACCCCGCCACCCCTCCCATCCCCATCCCCATCCCCACGCCCCTCCCCGTCTACTTCCGCCTCCACGCCCACTCCTCAACCCCCTACCCCACGCGCTCCGTCTGGCTCTCCATCATGCAAACCCCCTCCGTCAACGCACTCCGCGACTTGGCGATGCGCGAACACCCGGGTACTGTTGTGCATAAGCTGCAGGGGTTGGTTGTACATCGGGGTGGGAGGGCGGAGAGCGAGGTTGCCGTTGAGGTTACGGATGATGAGGAGCTAGGTGCGTATTTGGGGCTTGTTAGGAGGGCGGGAGGGGAGGATGGGGGGCAGGGGCAGGGGAAGGCGACGTTTGTTGTGCTGTTGGGGATGGGTGGGGAGGGGGGAGGCGGGTTTGCGTAGGGTCTTAGAGGTGGTAAAGTCTCGATATCTCATTTCCAGCAGACCGAGATCAACAGCGCAAAGTTCATGTGCTCGTTCGAATACTATATCCTTCGCACTTTCCCTGTTTGCTAAGCCACATATCAAAAGTCAATTATGACAGTACCGGTTTACCTCACAACCCCCATACCAAGCCTCCATGCATCAACTCTTCACCATCAGAACTACTCAGATTTACCCCCTCACAAACTAACCCCATAAGCCTCCTCCCCCGCCCCCCTCCAAACCCTCTCCCTCTCCCCTTCTCCCAACCCCTTCCCCTCCATCCAACTTTCCACAACGCTCCTCCACAGCTTCCAGCTCCCTCCCTCCCCCGCAGGCCCATCCACATTGCACACCGGCCAGTCACTCCCGAACATGACTCTGCCTGGGAAGCACTTGAAAACGTGGTCTAGGAAAGGAGATAAAGCGCTTAGGATACTGGGGATGTCGGAAGGAGTGGGTGACGTGGTGAACTCGTTGAAGGCGCCGGAGAACTTCATGTAGACGTTTGTGTCGGATGAGAGGGATGACATGGTTTGCAGCCAGATGGGGGATGGGGTGGGGGATATGGGTGAGAGGGGGGGTTTTGCGAGGTGGTCTGGGAGTTGTGTTAGTTTGGTGTTGTCTTGTTATGTTTGTGAAAGAAGTCACAGCGCATTGCGGTTTATGGCTTGGGTGTGTAGGAAAACGGGGAGATGTATACGTACTCAGGACGAACTTCACCTTCTTTCCATCTCCACCTCCCCCCTCCTTCTCCTCTCTCGCCCTAACAGCCTTGATTAACCCCCCAACCGCCTCCATAGGCCCCGTCCCATCTCTATGATTATCAACACCTACATCAAAACACCACGCCTGGCATCCATCTCCCAACCCCTTCAACCCAACTAGATTGCTAACCCAACTCTCCTCATCTTCCTTTAGCATCTTAGCAACAACACCCTCCCCCTTCCCTTGCAACAGATACCTCCATCCTTTGATACATTTCCAGAGCTGCGGCCCAGCCACCTCCTTGACAAGCTCCAGATAAACATTAAACACTCTAGGCTTCAGATGAAAAGGCGCATACACAACAGCCCCCTTCATCTTCCCACTTTCCTCCCCCGTAAACCCATCACCCCCCGCCGGCATCCCCTCCACAATCCTCCTCAGAAACCTAACCTCCTCCAATGGCTCCTTCGCCCACGCCCTCAACTTGCCCTTAACATCCTCATCGCTATCAGAGCCTGAGATACTCGGCTCCGCGGAGGGCAGATACCGATCAGTTTCTACGTAGATGAAGCCCGCGGGTTGGGGTGATGTAATGGAAAGATAGTCTGAGATACCGTGCCGTTTGGAGAGGTTGTGGCCGGGGGTCATCCAGCCGTGGTTTGAAGAGGATGTCGCGGTTGAGGGCCAGAGGTGGATGTGTGTGTCTAGGATGGGTATGTTTTGGGATGGCATTGTTGGATTGGTCGGGTTGGTCGGGCCGTGGGGCGTAGTGAGGCTGGTGCCGTCTGGATAGGATTCTAGATGGGCGAATCCGAAGGGGTCTTTTTTCTTCTTTTGGCTGAGGCCTAGAATTGAATATTGGATGTTGTTGGTTGATATGCTATACTGAGTACTGTGGTGTTGTGATGCGGGGAGGTGCTTTCGGTTGGCGGGGTAAGTGGCTCCGAGGAATATCCATTGATAGATTGCTATACACGAATGCTACTTCTTCACGCAGATCACGGTTGATTCTGATTCATGTTGTTCTGATTTGGACACTCTCGTGTCTGAAGACGATTGGTCTTCCTAATAGAGAACTTGGCGTCTACGATGGCCCAATAGCAAGACTAGTGATGAACCCGCAGTATTGATGTGCAACATGCTTCTGAACTACACCAACTAAGATTTATCGAAGATAACATTAACTCGAAGTTTGATAAACATAGAGCAAAGTCAAATGGACAGGAAAGGCCATCCGGCTTGGCCGCCCTTCATCACGATATGGCCGGTGATAATCAAGGCAACGCACAACGTATCGACGATTCCCAGCCTCTGGCCTCGGCAACTTGATCCCGAAACACATGCTTCGTATCCTGCAGACGCGATATACCGGAGTGCACGACCGTTGGTTCTAGACACATGCAAGGTGTGTATCTTGGCATCACAACCAGCGCAGTACATACCACATACAAAGCAGAACCCACATACTTCGTACATCTCACCAAACGCGCTCCACGGAGGAAACGTACAGCGATTAGGCGTCCCCTGCACGCACGATGCCGACTTTGACGTGGTCTCAAAAGGCAGCTCGTCTCGATCGTGCAGTGATAGGCGCTTAGTCGTCCCGCGCTTCCCAGCCACAAGGACAAGTGTCAAACTCAATGCCTATGAAGCCGACGGCAATTGTGGGGTAGCCATAGGCAAGAGGGTAA